TTGCCAAATTCACCCCGGGAGTTTTTCAACAGTACACGTAGGAAAACTCGAAATTTTGAAATCGACTAGACAAACGTCAATACGCCCGAGAAAAAGGAAAAGGCACGGAAACGAAGTTGCCAGATTGTGCTATTAAATGTATGTATTTTACATGGGTTTAAATGGGGGGGGGGAATTATTGATATTTCCAGCACTATCTGGCAACTATGCACGGAAACCTCGCGGGTGGATTCATTATTTCTCACCGGAGCTTTTTTTTTTTTTTTTTCAAACTTCTCCCCTCCACAGTCTGAAGGTTCAGCTGAAAACTTGTAATTAAATCTTCATACTTTTTTTCCGCGTCACCTTTGTGTATTGAAGGGTGTGCGTTCAACGGAACGAGGTTAGGGCGTCTTTTGAGACTTTTGTGACATCTGTTTTTCCCTCGCAGAACCATTTGAATACGCACGTATGGAAATGTTAATTTAACAGCCTTCGTTTAGCACTGGCAATTAAATGTCTTATTTTTGTTCGCTCTCACATGGAATCGTAATATGTATTAGTGGGAGGCAATTACGGTGATTCGATGGACGCCATATTTTATGTCAAAACGGCATGCGATATATCGCATCAATTGGTTCCATTTTTTCAGCTACTCTTCATTTTTCTCCAATTTTGAGATCGCAATTCTGTTGTCACAAGACTAAAGCACTCACTTACCAGTTTTAACAAAGAAATTCAACGTAATAAAGGCGTGGTTTTTTTGGAGAGAAAATATCGCATTCGATACTGATATCGAAACTGCACTCGAATGCGATATTTTCTCTCTAAAAATACCACGCCTTTATTACGTTGAATTTCTTTGTCAAAATTGGTAAGTGAGTGCTTTAGTCTCCTGGCCAGAGAATTGCAATCTCAAAATTGCAGAAAAATGACGAGTAGCTGAAAAAATGGAACCAATTGATGCGATATATCGCATGCCGCTCTGACACAAAATATGGCGTCCATCGAATCACCTTAACGATTGTCTTTTTTCAGTCAGCTTTTCGAAACAAGTTTGTCTCGTTATCATTATGGGTCTCACTTTTTTACGAGCTGTTTGGTCTTTGAAGCAAATCGTGGTAAAAAAATTTCCCTCGAAAAGGGCGCCCAACCCTCTCCCACAAGTACCATTGATCAACGAAAAATTGCGATATTTTGACATCAAGCGCAATCTTTGTAGGATATGTAGGATTCAGTGGCGTGGCGTAAAGGATCGATTATCGATATCTCGCCATTTGAAGCTATGGTAAAGAATCGATTACTAAGGTGTTCGCTGCGAACACCCTGATAATCGATCTTTTTTCATAGGTTTGAGTGGCGAATCAATCGATATATCGCAAAGCATGCCACGCCACTGGTAGGATTGGCGATAAAATCGCTAGAATCATCAACATTTGAGCGATCATCCTCGATTTTGTCACAATTTTTCCTATATGAAATCGTGTTTGATAAAATCGACATTTTATTTCAATTTATAACGATTTTCTGGACGATAATATTGCGGTAGGTCGCCATCGATAAAATCGCGATTTTATTGCAAATTTCTGCAATGAAATCGTAATTGATCACAATGTTTTATTCGATAATACTGTAATAAAGGCCTTTGTAAGGCTCCGTAAGACAAGTTCCGTAACCGTAAGGTCCGTAAGACGAACCCTTTTTCCTCCCTAAGTGCCTTACGTAATACTTGAACGGCCCAATTGCAACGATGACGAACACTGTCTGGATATTTCTCACTCAATTCACAGGACATGAATTTTCCACGAAGTTTTTTTCCTTTATTCGTGATGAAGTTACTGACAGAAACTTAAGAATCCGCTGAGAATAAGTACCGCGAATAGAGAATTACATTCAAAAGAAAAAAGTTACGACTCGGATCGTAAAAATATCCCTGGACGGATAAAATAAGGATTACAATAAAATGTGAAAGGAGTGCGACGGGAAAACGGAGGGGGTGTAAATTAATTAAATCCAAACTTCGAGAGGGGGTAAAAACGGAAAGAAAAACAAGAAATAAAAGAGTGAATTGCGTTTTGATGAAACTCAATTACTTACAACTCGTTTTTTGCGAGGGAAAGAAGGCCGCTGGGCAGGGAGGGGCCGGATGGGATGGAGTATCGTACTAATTAAACGGAACATCAAAAGCGACTGGAAAATCGATTAAAATAATTATGCGGATCAATTAAGCGTGTCATTCCTTTCTGACCTGAATATTGAAAAATGGATGGATGCAAATGCATAGCTAAAGACGCTCGGGCCTGTTCCCGGAAAAATTGGTTTTCATTCATCCTTCGTCTAATATAATACCTAGAACATTAAACACAAACCGGGCAGAAGAACTTAGGGGGGTGGCGAGCATTGCGATGTATCGATTGATCTGCCATTCAAACCTATGAAAAAGGATCGATAAACAGGGTAGTTGCAACGGACACCTCAATAGTTGATTCTTTACCACGGCTGCAAATGGGGAAATATCGATAATCGGTCATTCACACCTCGCCACTGTTCAAGTCGGCTCATCAAAAATCGACGGTGAAATTCTCGAACCATATTTGGACTACATTTTGCAATTAGGAACTATAAATTCTAGCCCGGTTTAAAAACAACGTATGTGCCATTAGTTTCCCTATGCACACAAGTGTTTTTTCATATGAACCAGAATTTATAGTTCCAAAATGCAATTGCAGTCCATTTTGATGGCCGAGGTGCAAAACCACGTACATCCATTGCGCTGTATCAAAGTTACCACTCCTGTTTAATTTTTTCGAAAAGAAACAAGCCAACTTCTAAGTTTATAATTCATACAGAATATTTTGCTAATGGAGCAGAAAAATGATGGGAGTTTTCCAGAAAATAGGGCCGAAATAGGGGGGCTCAAGGGGCCGCAACATTTCATTGACAGCATATAGCGGAGCATTGAGAGTTCACGCCTAGCGTCATCGCTCCTTCAATTTTGCGGATACTACACGGACATCCATCAAGCACGAATAGTTGTATCTCTGCGCCGTCGTCAACGTGCATCCGTCTCCTCGCTCTATTCCCATATTGGGTTTGTTTGTTTCCGTCAGTCTTTTTCGTAGTGCTGCTTCAAGGGCCACGTGAGTAACAGTCGATAGTCGGAGAGCCGTACTCGGGCCTCTTTTAACATATCTCTCCCGAATCTCACTGGCAGCATTGAGCAGAGAATTGCGAGTTTGGCCACCGCGCCGTAAATTTTTCATATGCAATGTGGACATCCATCTTGCGCAAATAGTTGCATCGCGTTTAAATGTCTCTGATTTTTTTAAATTTGAGACAAGTCAAGGTTAATTTTGTTCGAAATATGCTGTGGTATGTCCCGATCAATGGTCGTTCTAAAAAGGAAAAAATATGTTTAAAGGTCTCTCTAGCGCTATAAAAAGGGCGTACGTCTAAAATTCGAATCGATCATCGCTCCTAAGACATGGCGCATGACGAAGGGGGGTGAAAAAGCGCTTATATGTCAACAAAAAGGTAAAAATTTCACAGAAAAGTGTTTCCGCTTCAGAAAGTAGTTCCTGGACCTCCGTTCACCACTATCATGCGCACGAGCATCTTTCTTTACTCCTTACTCTCTCTTCTCCTGTTCATTTATGAAATTTTCCCTATATATTCTCGGTCATAATTTGTGTTTCTCTTCTTATTCTGCTATCTGTCAGAAGGGCATGTTTTCGGCGCGCCAAGAAGGTGTGTCTGCCTATGGCAGATTAGCCCAATGGCCAGTTCGAGCCTTGTTATGACCATCCTGGTAGAGACATCTTAGTCCACAGAAAGAGTAGAGAGACTGAGGAGATTTTATTAGGGCTATTTCTGTCGAGGTAGCTGTAGGTGAAAAATTTGGTCGATGAAATTTTTATAAAAACTATCTCTCACGAATCCTTTAAAATAAACAGCGTACGGCTTACGGCTCATTTCGTTTTTGTGTTAATTAATGACTTGAATTTGCAGTTTGATTCAGCGATTTTTCGAATTCGTAACGTAGTTTCCCGAGATGGAGATACACTCCCGTCAAAAACATCTTCCTGATATGAGCAGGTTCTTTTGAATCTCTTTGCTCCATCAAATCTGCAGTACAATTGTCATTGAAAGCGGGTTTCCTCTCTATGGAGGCTCCGTTGTGATCAGGCCTCAATATTAATTTAAAAGAGGAATGCGCCCTAGTAAAAATTAATAATCCATCACGGGAAAAAAGTGGTAGGGGTTGAGTCCAATTTCAATGGCGGGACATTTTCAATTAGTTGTGACAGTACCTCAACCATTAGTTTTGGTAGTGCTGCTAGCGCCCTAATAAATTAGGTTGCTAACCCAACTTGAGTTACGTTACTACCACAATTAATTGGAAATATCCATATCATCCAACAAATTGGGGTAGTACCACCATTTTAGGGGATAACCCCTAACACTATTTTATCCTTGTCCAAGGACCAAATCGTCCTCCGAGGACGTTTCAATTTTCGCCGAAGACGATCTATTTTTACTACCTGGGTCGTTAAGGACTAACCTCAAAATTTCTCAAAATATAAAATCGAATCTCATAGTCACTGGAAAAAAAAAAAAAAAAAAAAAAAAACACATTGGATCTAGAGTCCAGACTCTTGAAAACATCGACAAGAAAAAATACTCTTAATTCAATTAGATTTAAGCTTAAATCAAGAGCCCAGCCTCTTAATTTGAGCGGATTTCCTTTTTATTTAAGCTTAAATCTGATCGAATCAAGAGTCCTTTTTCTTGTCAATGTTTTCAAGAGTCTGAACTCTAGATCCAATGAGTTTTTTTTCCAGTGTGTGGAGAGATTCCACCGTCAACAGCAGGTTCTTGTTACGAGCAGGCCCGTTTATACTCTTTTACCTTAGCGAACTCGCAAAACATTTTCCACCCATACACAGTTTTCCGCCATAAAAAGGTTCCGTTACGACCGGGCTTCACAGTTAACTTAAAAGAAGCATACGTCAACCACAAACCTCAATTTTTCCGTGGGTGTGGACGTTCAGAAGAAAACACCGACCGCCAGTAGCGCACACACCCGGCACATCTCAAAACACATCCCCCTTAATAAACAGTCACCCGAAAACACAGTTCAAAACACACCGATCCGCGGAGCTCTCCAGGCGAACACCGGGCAGACCAATACCATCTACCCATACCTGGCCATGGGTTTGAGGTTAAATGTTCGTAAACCCCGAAAACACACGGGATCGTATAGCGGAGGACTTATAAAAGTTGATTTTTTTACTTGAGAAAGTGAGTTTATTCCGGGCGTGGAATTATCAGTTGAATATTTCGGCAAGTTTTATCGAAAGAAACTAATTTGTTCGGCAGAATCACATTTTAAATTATGGAAACAAGTATTAAATGTATGTCACTATACTAAATGTATGGCAGGTGACCGGGTAACGTATGCAACCCGCCAAACGTAGCCCGGCGGCTTCCCTTTGTTCTTGGGGGATATTACTCACACACTCTCACACGTGATCTCCAATGGCCAGGAATTCTAGGTAGGAATTGGGCAGACCCGTGCCATAACCTCTCTCACGCGAGCCGGACACCGCGCGCGAACAGCGGTAGCCACCCCGGGGAACGGACTCAAGACTGAGGGCTCGTCGTGTCGCCGACCGCGGGGGGTGATCGCGTGCGCGCGCCGGGCTGCGCGGGGGCCCAGCCGCCGGTTACTAGGCGACCGCAGAGCGCCGGTTTCGCACCTATCTCCGGTGTTGTTCCGGCGGCCGGAGTTATGCAACCCGCGTTACGGCGGCGCTCCTCCCGTTGACGTGTGACCGCCGCCCGCGTGCGGTCGGGATTAGTTTAGCGGGACGTTTTTGTGCTGAAAGACGCTATGTGCGTGGGGTTTGCGTGAGACATAGATGTTTTTGGCGGGAATACGTTCAGTTTTACAGCGCTCCTCGCGAAATGGCTTTTCTGCGAGGTGCCCTCTCGCGAGCAATTAATTCTGCACTAGGAAAAAAACACATTGGATCTAGAGTCCAGACTCTTGAAAACATTGACAAAAAAAAAAATACTCTTGACTCAATCAGATTTTTGCGTAAATCAAAAGGAAATCCACTCAAATTAAGAGGCTTGGTTCTTGATTGAAGCAAACATCCGATTGCATCAAGAGTATTTTTTCTTGTCGATGTTTTCAAGAGTCTGGACTCTAGATCCAATGTGTTTTTTTTCCAGTGTGCCGTGCTAAGGAAAAACGCCGTATGGGCATTTGAATGTTGCCAAATTGCCGCTCAGGAAATATTTATTTTTGAGGAACTTTATGAATATTTTTCCTCAAAATTTTCAGGCACTTTAAGTCAAATGGATTGCATTTTGCAAAGAGAAACCAAAAGCAATCCAATGTTGCTAAATCTTTGCAACTTACATTCTTTGCAATGAAATTACTGAAATCATGTAAAATATTTAACTTCCGTTACTTCTAACTAATTTTTACTAGGGCGCATTCCTCTTTTAAATTAAGAATGAGGCCTGGTCACAACGGAGCCTTCATAAAAGAGGAAACCCGCTTTCAATGACAATTTTACTACAGATTTGTCGGAGCAAAGAGATTCGAAAGAACCTGCTCATATCAGGAAGATGTTTTTGACGGGAGTGTATCTTCATCTCAGGAGACTACGTTACAGATTCGAAAAATCGCTGAATCAAACTGCAAATTCACGCCATTTATTGACACAAAAATGAAATGAACCGTGCGCTATTTATTCTTAAGCATTTGCAAGATAGAGTTTTTATCAAAATTTCACCGTTCGAATTTTTCACCCACCTCGACAGAAATAGCCCTAATGAAATCTCCTCACTAGCTCTAGACTCTTTTCGTGAACTAAGGTGTCTCTACTAGGATGGTTATAACCTGGCTCGGACTGGACATAGAGCCAATCTGCCATTGGTAGACATACCTCCTTGGCGCGCCAAAAAGGCACCCCTCTGATAGATAGCAGAATAAGAAGAGAAACAATTACGACCAGGAAAATATGCGGAAAATTTCTAACATGAACGGGAGAGGAGAGAGTAAGGAGCATAGAAAGATGGTCGTCCACATAATAGTGGTGAACGGAGGTCCAGGAACTATTTTCTGAAGCGGAAACACTTTTCTGTGAAATTTTTACCTTTTTGTTGACATAAAGGCGCTTTTTCATTTCCTTTCATCATGCGCCATGTGTAACTCTCTTAGGAGCGATGATCGGTTCGAATTTTAGATGTGCGCCCTTTTTATACCTAGCGCTAGAGAAACCTTTAAACAGATTTTTTCCTTCTCAGAATGACTATTGATCGGGACATACCACAGCATATTTCGAACAAAATTAACCTTGACTTGTCTCAAATTCAAAAATCAGAGACATCTAAACGCGATGCAACTATTTGCGCAAGATGGATGTCCACATTGCATATGAAAAATTTACGGCGCGGTGGCCAAACTCGCAACTCTCTGTTCAATGCTGCCAGTGAGATTCGGGAAAGAAGTTAAAAGAGGCCCGAATACGGCTCTCCTACTATCGACTGTGTTACTCACGTAGTCCCTGAAGCACCACTACGAAAAAAACTGACGGAAACAAACCCAATATGAGAATAGAGCGATGAGACGGATGCACGTTGACGACAACTATACAACAGAGATACAACTATTCGTGTTTGATGGATGTCCGTGTTGTATCCGCAAAATTGAAGGCGCGATGACGTGAACTCTCAATGCTCAGCTGTATGCTGTCAATGAAATGTTGCGGCCCCTTGAACGGCCCCTATTTTCTGGAAAGCTTTTTTCATTTTTCCGCTCCATTAGCAAAATATTTTGTATGAATTATAAACTTAGAAGTTGGCTTGTTTCTTTTCGAAAAAATTAAACAGGAGCGGTAACTTTGATACAGCGCAATGGATGTACGTGGTTTTGCACCTCGGCCATTGAAATATAAATTTCACCATCGATTTTTAATGAGCCGTCTTGAACAGTGGCGAGGCGTGATTAATCGATTATCGACATTTCCTCATATGCAGCTGTGGTAAAGAATCGACTATTGAGGCGTCCGTTCCGACTGCCCTGTTTATCGATCCATTTCCATAGGTTTGAATGGCAGATCAATCAATGCAGGAGCTCAAGACGTAAAAAACGTAACTTTTGAAAAGTTCACGCTGGTAAAGGCGGGAAAAGCTCCAAAGTAAATTCAGAGCTGGAGCATGATTTCAGCTGTGTTATCGTTGATGCTTCCTGGCCACGCTCAAAGAGAGCGCCACGTGTTTGAATCTCGCTCTCCAGAGCTGTTTTCCCAGCTTCTCCGAGAGATTGAGGCACTAGTACTTACACACTTGCTCAACTCAAAGCATGCAATATCCGCAACATCCCAGTTTTTGTCTCAAGATGAAAGTAAGGAAAACCCAATTTTTCAGATGTAGACTTAGGAATATTCGTTTATTTTAAAGCGATACTTACGGTAAATGACCTTTGTAAATGGTTTTATGTTTTTTTTTTTTTTTTTTTTTTTTTTTTAAAAA